TGTGTGTGTGTGTGTGTGTGTGTCTGTGTGTTTCAGGCAGCCACAGATCAATAGTACATCTGGGATTTGCCCATTTCGCTCTCATTCACCATTTTATTCAGCTCATATTTCTGCTTTTTCTTATTCCTACAGTTCCATGTTAAACGCTGCCCCTTGTGGAGGGACGCTGAGACCTTCAGCTCTGCCTGGATTTCCTCCAACTGTGCCGTTAGGTTTCCAGGTACTAAGAAAGCGGCTACTTGCATCCTATGGAGGTGAGCAGGGAGGAGGTTTGGATTCTTCATCTTCATCTTCTTTTACTGTCGATCTTTTTGCATGACCACTTCCCTCTCTCTCTCTCCCTCCCTCCCTCCCGCCCTCCCTCCCGCCCTCCTAACTTGCCGCTCTTCTTCCTCCTCCTGCTGCTGCTTAATATCAGGCTCTTGTGAAAGTATCTTTTCAATGTGTCTCCTCTAAATGAGGTTTCCCTTGACCTTTAAAGAATAAAAGCCTCCTGCAAATCCCCTTTAAGAGAGTGAATAAGCAAGAACCATATCAGCACAGTGTGGTTATTACTTCCAGGGGGGCTAAATGGCCTGTGTGTGTGTGTGTGTGTGTGTGTGTATATCTTTGATTCATAAAATGCTGCTCTCCTTGTCTATGTGATGATTATTATGAATACCAATGGGAGGTCTCATATCGGCGTGCGTTCATATGAGGACATCTACATTACACTTCAATCAATTTAAATGTGCACCCCACAGATTCTGCGATATCACGCTGGTCTAACGTTTCACATTATCTACCTATTATAAGAGTGAGCATGTTTTTGAGCGGGTCAGCACATCCAGGGGTTACCACAGAGACTCTCTCAGTCTAATGAAAAGCTGCACACAGAAACACGGCCCCGGGGATCCAGCCCACTAAGTGTCTGATTGACAGCTGGGTTAAAGCGATGTAATTTGTCCGACTGACCATTTCAGGCCCGTGAGTCCAGGAGGCGGAGTAACGGATCAGCTGCCAATCACGGAATCGAATTCAGATGAGCAAGAAGAAAAAGATGGCTCCACTGATGTTCATTATGCCAAAATAAACTGGATGCTTTTCACCCCAGGGGAAATAACTCACTGTATGAAAAAGCTATTTCCAACTTCATATTGCTAAAGTAATCATCTGCTGATTAAAATATCTGTGTTGAGTCAATTGGCTTTAAAGTGATATGAATACATTCATACAGTGTATGAAAGGTGTAAGACAGGGACCCATGACTGCACGGTCAAAACCAAACAATAAAACAGACACACCAACTAAATACAGTAATTATTAAAGTATAAACTAATAAGCTGATAGGACAGAAAAATGTAAAGATGGTATTGATACTGAAGTTGCAGTCAAAGCTTTGAGCTCTTTCTTTGGTCACCTTAAATGTGCAGGAGCACAGCGAGCACTGATGAGTATTAATGGACTTTTTAATAGTAAACTGCAGAGATTAAGCCCACTTTAAACATATCTGAGGTCAAGTGACTACCACAGGGAAGAATGCAAAGGTTGCATCTTGTCACAAAGTATTTAGATCATATTACAGTTTGTACATTTACATATTTTATACATTTATAAATCCTATAAATCCTTCTCTGAGCTGCCAGGGCATTTAACTACATTCATGATTGTCCAGACTTTATACTGAATGAATGTTTCATGGGCTATAAAAATCCTGGGGCACAGAGACAAACACCGGGCTGTTAGCAGCCAGCTAGCCTGTCCACTGCCAAGGCCGAGAGCGGCAGAGGAACTGATGCTAGCCAGTGGAGCTGCTGGGTGGACGAGCAGCAACAGAAAGTGATCGGTGGACGTGGCGGCTTCAAAGTGTTTGTGGATTATTCGATTTAAAACAGGGTCAAAAAAGTGTACAGTCAGTGAATACATCAAGGATATATTAATGTAAAGCTCGATCAGACCTGTCCCTCAACCTCCTTCTCTGTAAAATCAACACAAACCTAAACAGAGTCAACCTAATACATTACTTATATTTTAATTTCACTGTCAACTTGAGTTAGCAGTAATTTACCTTCTTCCCTTTGGATTAAACTGCTTTAGAAAGGGGCAGGGGATAAAAAGTGTTACATAAATAGTTTTTGTTGAATCCTATGATTACGGAAGAATTTAGCTACTTAGAAAATAAATGTGCAATTATGCAGGATTTTCAAATATACATATAACATGGCTGCTGTGAATTGGCGCTGGGATTGCAGAAAATGCATCAAATGCATGTTTCCCACTGGATTAGAAGAATGTGTGGCAGAAGTTGCGTTGGGGGTGCGTGCATGGCAGCATGGGGTTTGCTGACATGTCCTGTTTGTTGCTATTCATGCAAATATCAGTTTTTCCTGTGTATTTTTTAAAACACATGTTTGTGTTAGTCGGCAATAAAATCCGCTTTAAGATGAATCTTTTTTCTATCATTCTTCTTCTTAGCATTTGGGAAATTGTGGATGTTAAATAGTTTTTTCTGGTCCTGGGGTCAGAAAACTCATTTAGCACATAAGGGACCATGCAGTCTTGTAATTCAAAGGCCGCATCCAGAAGTGTTACAGACTTGTTATGCGCCTCACGTGTCCTGCTTAAGTGTCTATTATGAGCAGGGTATAGAGGTGGACTGAGCCAGGCCTTGTATGCTAATGAACTTTTGATTAACTACCTTCTTAATTTCCCTTCACAAGGAGGGAGGGGATTGGAGGATTGAAGCGCGACACCACGTCTTCAGCCGCCTGCCAGCCCCCCTGGTGATTGATTCAGAAGGCTCGAAGCCACACAGGCTAATGTAAAGATAATTTTTTTATTATGAGGTGTGTGTCTGAGGCCTGGGAAGTAATATATGTTGTCCTGGAGTCACTGTCTGTCACAGTGAGACGCAATGTCACAACAAAGGAACGTGGGAGGAGTGTATGTGATAATATGGCACATGATAAATGGGGAGGAATGGAGGCGTACAGATGATTTAGCCTGTACCACCGCTAAGGAGTATAGTTGCATGAATTTAAAACGCTTAAAGGTGCACTGAATTCCCCTGCACTCCAGACAGCACATCACTGATTGATGAAGAACTGTGCTTTTTATGCAAACACCTGAGAAACATGCCTCACATCAGATCAGCGGAATATTACTGTGCTGCTGTGAATATCAATTCGCTCCATATGTGCAGCAAAGCAAAATGTATGCCATATTGAAGAAATGTATATTTCCATAAAATAGACGCATGGACACTTTGTGTTACAAATTTCTTATCTCTCTT